TTCCTAGCACATTCATATTTACAAGCTATGGGTAGGACCCTAAAATAGAATTATACAGCATGGGAGAATTGGTTTCCCACACTAAAATGGGAATAGAGCTTTCTTACACATGATTTACCTGTTTCCGTGATTGCAATTTTATTCAAACTGTAATATTGCAAAGAGTGGTTTTATAGGCCATTTAATATTATTTTTGCTAATAACAAAGAAGCACCTAGTTTCCCCTAATCTCATATCCCACACAGGTCTTCTGTCCCTAAAAATAGGCCTTCCCCTACTATCCTCAACTGTTTTTCTAGAAAATTGCTTTGAGAGTTTATTTTGGAATATAAATTATAACAAAGAACAAGGAACAGGAAAAAAAATGAAAAGGGAACTCATATAAACAATCTTCTTTAATCATAAAAATGGTTGTGCTCTCCAAGAGCAAAGGATGCACAGGAAGTCCATCAGAGTCAGTTTTCACTGGAAGTAGGGAGCAGTCGGCTAAAAAGGCATGAATAAATGAATAAATACATACGTACAATATGAAAACAAGTAAATGATTTACGTGGACAAATCACGATGATGTCATGATGTGAGGTGTCTGCTTCTGAGGGTTAAACAATGACAACAAACCATGGATTATGATGGAGACATAAATATTGAAGTAAAAATATTTAAGTGTCTGTGGGAATATTAACAATTTCAAGAGAGCAATTACGTCTGGCGAAGGAGAAAATAATGCAGTTAGAGATAGGTACACAAAGGTAGAAAGGGTATTTTACATTTTTATTTTTTAAAATCTAAAACAAATACAGAAAAAATGATTAAGATTTGGCACCAGGATCGGGGGGTATATGAGTATTCACCATATAATTTTCTATGCTTTTCTGTACTATGATTTTAAAATATCATAATGAAAATTATAAGGAAATACTCTAAATTTGCTAATAATAAATTTGAAAATCTGAAACGAAATAAGGAAACAATGACATTAGCTATTTAGTACCAGAGTTGATACTAAACTTTGAAAGTTTAAATGCTTTTTTCCTAAGAAACAAATTTTTACTATGCCATGAAAGAGCTCATTTCAAGCAGAATTTTTACCTGCTTTCTGGCAGCCTATAAATCCTTTCCATCTTTCCCCCTTAGCCAGAAGAATCCGCCTTGTACCGCATATGGTTAACATCCTACGTCCTCCACTTAACATTTTTAAAAGTTACTAAGTAAGAGCTGCTTCATACATGTGTGTCCTCCCTCTACGCTTCCTGGCTACTCATTGTTACGCATTTTATTTTAGTCTTACGCATAAGAGAGTAATGGGAAGAATGTAGAATGCATTTAATTTGGACTTCAACTTGGTTTTTACAATGTTCTTAAAATAATATAAACTGTTAGTTTTTTCTTTCAACAGAAAGGAGACCTTTCTGTGCAAGTTGGACATGTTGATTAGGAAGCAGAAAAGAGAAAGAGAGCAATGCCAAGAAAAACATGCTATTTTAACATCAAGCAACACAAAGGAGGCATGGGGTTATTTCCAGCCTGAAGTTGAGGCTGCATTTAGAGCAAAACTCTTGGAGCCAGATATTTTTTTTTTTTAAATTAAAGCGACATTCATATAAATAAAATTAATCATTTTAAAGTGAACAATTCAATGACATTTAGTATTGAATCAACAATGTTTTGCAACCGCCACTTCTATCAAGTTCCAAAACATAACTGAAAAAGAAAACCTGTGCCCATTGAGCAATCCTTCTCTCTTTTCCTCTCCCCGCAGCCCCTGCCAAACATCAGCCTGCTTTCCAGGGAACGACCTATTCTAGGTATAAATGGAATAATATAATATGTGACATCTTGTTTCAGTCTTCTTCCACTTAGCAGAATGTTTTGGACATTTATTCATGTTGTAGCAAGTTTCAATACTTCATTTCATTTTGGGACTTCATAAAATTCCATTGTATGTATATACCACAATTTTTCTTTTCTTCATACTCTGAAACTTGATTTCATCTTAAAGAAACAAACACCTGGTAATGGATGCATATTCATTGGCAGCCTTAATAATAAGGACTTACTAAGATTCTAGTTCCTCAAATACAGCCAAATGATCCAAGTGATTTTCCGTCAACCTCTACAAATGTTCTCAACCACTCTGTTTTTCTCATAGCTATCAAATATGATCTCTTCTGCCATCCTCAACATAGGTAATGCCCAGTAATTATTGTTTTTGCCAATGTATATAAAACAGTCAGGGTTGTGCTTAAGAGAAATTTCCTACCTATCTAACAGGATTTCGTTTCTTACTGTTTTCTTACTTCGTTATTTTTGGTATTGAAGCGTAAGTTGGTATTAAGATGCCAAAGAATAAAAAATATCAGCAATAACTAAAATGTTTTAGGATTTACACTTTCAACCCCTTAAATTTTCTTTGTCCTCTCATGGCTTATATTTGCAGCCTTGGAACATGACCAGAGATGAATATTGATTTTTTGTACCTTTACATATATATTTTAACCTTTATATATTTGCAGTTCATTTCACACTTAACTTCATACCCTAGTGTCGGAAATAACCCAGAAATTATTATTTGTGGGAAAACAACTTGTCTCTTTGCTGTGAAATCCAGTTGAATTTGAGATAAATACTACTGTGACGTAGTCGCCTTCTATTTGTCAAGGATTCTCTTGCAGGGTAATCATTTTCTTCTCTTTCAAATGAAAAAAAAAATAGATTTAAGATCTTTCCCAAAGGGATGCTACTGCAATTTAAATGTTTAAAAAAAGTTTTTACATTAAAACAACATGAGAAAATATTGGTTTTAACAATGGCAAAACCTTTCCTTATTGCATGGTTTGCGATTTTATGAATGTTGCCAAGTCACTAAAGGAGAGATTTACATTTAAATTTAACTATTATTATGATTCTCTGTTTGAGAATCATTCTGAAACATATTTAATAACAGTTAAGGAAACATATAATGAGGCTAGTATTTAACAGAAATACAATTAAGGTACTTCCTAAAATCCTCTCAAAGCCTAAATATCAGTAAATATCAAACTATATCATTTCATAAATGAGAATTAGAGGATACAAAATATGAATAGTCTTTGAAAAAACAAAAATTTAGAACTATTTTCACTTTTACATTTGAATTTGAATTTTTTCTCCTTTCTGTTAGTAAAGTGAAAGCATAAGATCTTTACAACAAAGAAAAATATGGTTTTATGGGCTTCAGACAGCTCAAAAGGTTACAGGGGTAGTGAAATAGAGCTAAGCTATGAAGAGAAGATTACTAAATCTTTCTAGCAGCAGACACGACTTTCAAAACCAAAATTCTCTTCCTCCCCTTCATTTTGCATAGAATTAATCACAAACACACACACACACACACACACACACACACACACAGCCATGCACACAGCATACACACTCCACACCCTACACACAACACCCCCACACACCCACAAACACATGCACATACACAAACTCTGATCTACTGATGATTCGAAAGCTATCCAAATATACCATTCAGTATTTCGATGAGAACTGCAGCTATAATTTCCTCATAATCTTTCCCAGTGATTAATGGAGATCATTATCTCCCAATTTATAGTTTTTATAAATCAATGTTTATTCAGTGCCAACATGCATGGAATGAGGTCTGGCTCTTTAGAAATACTTATTTAACAAAGACGTCCATTACTGCCCTCTGTAAATTTGCAATTTAGAAGAACATATAAGAGACAATGAAGATTTGATTATGAATTTTCAGAGCAGTTTGACACTAAAAACTAAGCGTAGATATTTGTAATTTGCAGCAAAAGCATGCTTGCATCCTATCCTTAAATACACACCAATTACTCTCAGGGTTTCCAGGTACCATGCTGCTAAATAAAATAGGACTCACCCTCAGTTTCTAATAAGAGTTAATAAATACAACAAATTTAGGATACAGAAAGTATTCATTATATAACAAGAGGATGTATTCCCTATTGCATTTATAGGTGGAAACAGCATAGGATTTTTAACTGCATCAACTAGTAAAATTAAAATTTTAGTAAAACCAAACTTAAGAATGCAGGTAAATAATTAAACAAACACAAATAAGTGGACAAAGAAAGCTGATGTACTAATCAAGGATAAATGCACACAGAAGAGCCCGAAGAAGGCAAATATCATATTTTCTGTCGTCACCTAAGAAATCCATTATATTCAAAGCCTTTTATTACCTTCAGGATGGAGAAGCCATGTACCACATATGGCCAGTGAGTACCTGGGAGCAGAGCCAGGAGCAGTGACCGGGATGTTGGGTACACTCCACAGGGTAGGGATTTCTTGGCCACTGATGCTTACTGATAGTCAAAAGACTGGAAAGTGCATTTTGTTTGGGGTTAGGGAAGATAAAAGCAAGGAAAGAACTGCTTTAATTATGTTGTATTTTTTAAATTTAAAATATGAATTTGAAGAATTTTGAGGTACCACATTTTTTGCTTGTAGCAGATATCAGAAATCTAGTGGTGGGCAGGAATCCAGTGTGGAGCCAGGGTAAGGTGCCTTGCGTATTGGAGAATTGAGCAGTAAAAATAATCCACAGTAGTCACAGAATGTCCCAGCAGCAATCCTCATGGCTGGCTCTGTTTCCAGATTAGTGAAGCCTTGCAGACACCATGATACTCTAGACCAGAAGACATCATCTGCTGCTCCCAAAACCCATGGAATACCTCCCCCTACAGCTCCATGTCCACTCTAAACTCCTCTAAGCACAAATTACTCTTGTGCAGGACAGGACATTTCCCAGTAGCTCTGTAAACCTGGTAGATTCTTTCTCCAAGGTAGTCCAGGTTCATTTTACTTTTAAACATTTTGCAGCCATCTATATTTCTTGGACACCGACAACTATCAGCAAAGGCTATTGCTATAACTGATATTTTTTGAGCACCTACTTTGTGCCAAATATTGTTCTAGGAACTGAAGGTACAGCAACAGGCAAAATAGACAAGAATTTATATTCCTGCTTTGCGGTTCTCTTTCTCTCTCCCAACATGGCGGCCTCAGCAAAAAAGAAGAAGAAGGGGAAGACTATCTCCCTTACAGACTTTCTGGCTGAGGATGGGGGGACTGGTGGAGGAAGGACCTATGTTTCCAAACCAGTCAGCTGGGCTGATGAAACAGATGACCTGGAAGGAGATGTTTCAACAACTTGGCACAGTAATGATGCCGACGTGTATACGGCGCCTCCAATTGAGCGTTCTATCCTTCCCACTGCTCCACGGGCTGCTCGGGAACCCAATATCCACCGGAGCCGTCTTCCCAAATAGCCACCCTACACTGCTTTCCTGGGGAACCTACCCTATGATGTGACAGAAGAGTCAATTAAGGAATTTGTCAGAGGATTCAGCATCAGTGCAGTGCGTTTACCACGTGAACCCAGCAATCCAGAGAGGTTGAAAGGTTTTGGTTATGCTGAATTTGAGGACCTGGATTCCCTGCTTAGTGCCCTGAGTCTCAATGAAGAGTCTCTAGGTAACAGGAGAATTCGAGCGGACGTTGCTGATCAAGCACAGGATAAAGACAGGGACGATCGTTCTTTTGGCCGTGATAGAAATCGGGATTCTGACAAAACAGATACAGACTGGAGGGCTCGTCCTGCCACAGACAGCTTTGATGACTACCCGCCTAGAAGAGGTGATGATAGCTTTGGAGACGAGCATCGAGATCGTTATGATTCAGACCGGTATCGGGATGGGTACCGGGATGGCCCTCGCCGGGATATGGATGGATATGGTGGCCGGGATGGCTATGATGACCAAGGCAGCAGAGACTATGATCGAGGCTATGACTCTCGGATAGGCAGTGGCAGAAGAGCATTGGCAGTGGACACCGCAGGGATGACTACAGAGGAGGCGGGGATCGCTCTGAAGACCGATGTGACAGGCGGGATGATCGGTCATGGAGCTCCAGAGATGATTCCTCTCGGGATGATTACAGGCCTGACGATAGAGGTCCGCCCCAAAGACCCAAACTGAATCTAAAGCCTCGGAGTACTCCTAAGGAAGGTGATTCCTCTGCTAGTACCTCCCAGTCCAGTCGAGCTGCTTCTATCTTTGGAGGGGCAAAACCCGTTGACACAGCTGCTAGAGAAAGAGAAGTAGAAGAACGGCTACAGAAGGAACAAGAGAAGTTGCAGCGTCAGCTGGATGAGCCAAAACTAGAAAGACAGCCTCGGGAGAGACACCCAAGCTGGCGGAGTGAAGAAACTCAGGAACGGGAACGGTCGAGAACAGGAAGTGAGTCATCGCAGACTGGGACCTCCACCACATCTGGCAGAAATGCACGAAGGAGATAGAGTGAGAAGTCTCTAGAAAATGAAACACTCGGCAGGGCGCGGTGGCTCAAGCCTGTAATCCCAGCACTTTGGGAGGCCGAGGCGGGTGGATCACGAGGTCAAGAGATCGAGACCATCCTGGTCAACAAGGTGAAACCTCGTCTCTACTAAAAATACAAAAATTAGCTGGGCATGGTGGTGCGTGCCTGTAGTCCCAGCTACTTGGGAGGCTGAGGCAGGAGAATTGCTTGAACCCAGGAGGCGGAGGTTGCGGTGAGCCGAGATCGTGCCATTGCACTCCAGTCTGGGCAACAACAGCGAAACT